CGTCATCGTTACAATTTATATAGAGGAGACGTGTCAAGAAAAAGAGTGTTTCTCTCGAGTTATATAATAAATAGAATCTTACACTCGTGTTCATGTAATATTGAATTCATTAAACTTGTTTATTCATTTCATATGAAATTATCAAACTCGTTCAATAATTTCAACATTACATGAACACTGGTGTCAGATCCTCTATTTACTGTACCCAGACTTTCTTCATGTCAGAAGTTACTGAACTCTAAATATATATATACATGTATAAGTTTCCTGTTCAAGTTCTGGTCTTTTAAAATTGCAGTTGGTAAATATGAAATCTAAATCTCACAGACCTATATTGTCTATGGAATGTAAATCTAAATTCTAAAATTATAGTTAACCCCAATGAATATCACAGCATAATCTCAAACATTACTCTTCAAGTATTGTCAGCTTTATGCCCTATAAATATCATGGCTTGATCGCACACACTAGACAGATATAGTCCACTGTATAGATGTTGTTGAAGCATTGTCAGCTTAATGTAATTACTTTATAAGGGGTATTAAGTACACCAGATGTGAGTTAATGATGATATGGGTGTCTATATTTGGGCATTTTCCCTTAAGTAACATACTTCATATTTTTCTTTCTTTCAACCAAAGTCTCTTGACCCTAATCCCGTATTGGATTCCCCATAACTAATTGATTTATTTGATTTAAACATATTTTAATCATTAAAGCTGGAAATCTTAAAATTTGTCTTCTCCCTTAAAACAATAATGAATCTTTATTTATATACATATATGGATTCAAAGTAGAAAACGTTGATGACTGTAAATTTAGATAATTCAAATAAAATACATGCATAAGATAAAACGAATAGTGTAAGGGGTGGTCATTACTGTATAACTTAAGTCAACATTAAGAGATGTTGAGCCCGTCCACCTAATCCCCATCCCATCCAACCTCCAAGAGTGAAAATTACCGCTAGAAAAATGTTCTCCAATAAGTTACAAACTAAATGTGTAACTACTGTTTTTATTAAATTCAGTATTGCTGAATTCACATTTTAGCTGCATCCAAGATAACCAGAACCCATATATAACCCATTAACCCTGAAATTTCATAATGAACCATACCAACCTTTGAATTGGAAGGGTTCAAATGTGTCTTCTGGGGTGAATGAGTTAAACCCCTTGTGTAGAGGTCTGACTATGGTAGCCTCCGAACCTCCATTAACAGAAGTTGAGTGAGTGCATTCGTACCTTATCAGTGCAATTTGAGGCTTCACTGATGCCAGGAATTGAGAATTAGAAATGCCATTAAAAATAATATATCAAATTATCAGAAAACACATACCTAATCCCAGTCCCTGAAAAATATAAATTGATATGTTTTCATTGTAATAATTACAGAATGTGGACTAGTAAAAAAGGTAACTGATTAACGTAGAAACGTTGAATGTGAAAATATGATCTTATAATTTTTAATATCATTGTCTACCCATATATTTCTAACCATATATATCTTTTAAATTAACTATGAATTAAGGATCTGACACAATTATTAACTGAAACCTAGTAAATGAAAAATTATAGCTGGTACATTATATATCAAACACTCTACTGTAAAATAATAAAAATAAGAATGTCAGTTAGAGTAGGCGATGTGATGCAATTGACATTGAAAATACATGTAAACGCCTAAAAGTATCCTACAATTCTGTATCTGAACCAGAGCACCTGTCAGATAAACATGTGATTCGGTGCATTTTAACGCGCAAAAAAATGTTACGTTTCCGGTGACGTAATACAACACTTAAAATAGGTCCTAAAATATCGGATATCCAGCCAAATGTGTGCTTTCCAAGAATGTATCGATCGTTATTCCAAACGACACGGAGTTTGATTTTCATCTTTGACATACGAAAGAATGAAATATTAAGATATTTATTGATATAAATTGCATATCAATATCTTTTCTATTTAATGCATAAATTATCATTTAGAAATGGGGATTCCCATATCTTCTGTAGAACGCCAAAAGGCGGGTATAGCATCACTAGGGTTAATTAAGGACCAGATTTTTGTTAATGCTTGATTGAATGGTACAGAAAAAAATATCTATTTTCTAAAGGGCGGTACACACCAACAGCCAGCCGTTGACTATATAACAGTGAAACAATTGTATTAATCTATTTCATCCCTGTTTGTGATTGATTACTTCCTGACTGACCTACAATCTGCCCAGGACAAAGTTCACATATATACACACATAGGAAGTGTCTCATACACACAAGGTCGTGGTAGTTGTATCTCTGCAGTCAGGTACAAAGTGTATGTTTATATATATACACAATTTAGAACTAGGCCATATACATGCAAGTTCTGCCCCAGTTATTATATTATAATGTCTTGTTTATTTAAAGTGGACTAAATAAAGCTACAGGCAAAATATCAGTGTCTTGACTTCAAGTCATTCAGAAGAACTGTTAAACGATTAAAACACATTTGACGCCTGTGACCATAAAAAGTCAAACATGGACATTAGGTTGAACAAACTTCATAGCCCTTCTTTCCAGAATGCAACTTGCCAAATATCACCACCTTATACCTTTTGTTTATTGAGAAGATGACTTTTAAAGATTTATGCACTATGGACCATGAAAGTATGTCAAGGTCATTCAATCATCATGTATGCTTTAGTTATTCAGAAGAAGTCAGTTAAATATTACAACATATGTTTTGACCCCTGTGACCTTGAATATGAGCAAATGTCATTCGCTTGAACAAACTCAGTAGCCCTTGGTGCCAACATCCTTCTGGCCAAATATCATCACCCTGGACCTTTTGTTTATACAAATGAAGTTGTTTAAAGGTTTTTAATACAATTGACCCCTATGACATTGAATATATGATTGAAGGTCATCTGTTTGAACAAACTTGGTAGCCCTTCATGTCAACATCTTTCTGGCCAAATATCATCACCCTGGACCTTTTGGTATAAATACAGAGGTCGTTTAAAGGTTTTTAAGAGAAATGACCCCTTTGAACTTGAATATGGGCGAAGGTCATTCATTTTAACAATCTTGGTAGCCCTTTATCCAAGCATACTACTGGCCAAATATCATCATCCTGGGCCTTTTGGTTATTGAGAAGTCGTTTGAAGATTTTAAAACATTTTTCCCCTGTGACCTTGAAAGTGGGTCAAGGTCATTCATTTGGACAAACTTCCAGACATCTCAGCATGCTACTGGCCAAATATCATCAGCCTGGGCCTCTTGGTTATTAAGAAGAAGTTGTTTAAAGTAAAAAGTTGACACCAGACGGACAACGGACGCCGCACTATGCCATACGCTCACTTGACCCTTGGGCCAGGTGAGCTAAAAAAAACACGAAGGTATTTATATTAATTGGTATACACTTTTGGGTTGTGACAATGTAATGGACACCACTTTATCACAGAACACAGATACTGCGGTACACAGTACCATATCGCAATACAGAGATAAATATTGCTGAATCGTAAAAAGGTTTATTCAGTATGTATCTGCTAGGTGCTTTAACATTGCATTTTAAATTACTAGGTACTACGTATTCCGACTTTTCCAATAAAAATATAAACAGTATATCAAACATTTCATTTGCATCCAATTGTTATACATACATGTACTTCCCTATTTTTCACGATAAACAAAAAAAACACTTCCTCATTACATTCAAAATTCTTCCATAACCATTGCATTGTCTGTGATATGAAAACTATGGAAGTCGATAATCAGTTTATAATCGGAAGAAGTAAACCGATTGATGATCAATTGCATAATCGGTTTATAACTTTATGGGGACTCACTCGGAATGCCCAAATTAAATACCATCAATAAACAGAGTTGTTCATTATACATTACAGGGTTAGACACTAACTTTTTTTGCTTGGTAGTCCACATGACTAGTTGAATAGATTATTTACTAGTCCTTTGTCGATGTAACTATTCCAAGATTTCCTGATAAGGAAACATCGTGATCTACAGCACAAAACATCAAAAGTAATCGACTGTAGGAGACTTAAAATAGCTACTGCCATACAAATATGGTGAAAGTTTTAGGAAAATTTTGACAATTATCATGCAATATATCTTATCTTAAGCTGTTTTCTAAATTTAAAAAAGAAATATTATTATTTTATAATCATAGTTTTCACAAGTCTAAAGGACCAGTTAGGTTAGGTGATTCACTAGTCCTTGCTGAAATCTACTAGTCCAGGACTAGCGGATTAGTGTAAGTGTCGACCCCTGCATTAGGTTTTGTACTTTTATAATGAATGGATATCAAGCAGCTTGTGTGCATTTTTTTTAATCTTATAGTATAAATAAATCATAAATATAAGACTTTCAAAGCATGCTTTACATGGAGGACATATAAACACTTTGATTTAAGTTATGAATTTATTATATTGACAGGCTCTTTTCCCTTGCTTTTAGTGCCTTATTTTCCCAAAATGACCCAAAAATGAGGAATATATCCCCAATTTCAATACAGATAATGCTATATTTTCCCCGATTCTGTATCTGTATGGAATACACTGCTAGATCCCAATTAAGGTAATATTGCAGCGGATGAGAGATTCATAAAGGAACAGACTGTTATAATATATATATGCCTGTTTGTTTATTTTGATTTAAACTTCTTTACAAGAGTGTGTGTTTTATGATTTATTTCTTTGTTTAGTTGACTGGAAGACATTTAGGTTCTGTCGGGAAACCTGAAATACGTGTGAGATATGCATGGCATATCATGAATAGCAACAAATTATGTGTTTTAACGTTTTTCATTGATTTGATTGAAGCGTTCTCCTTGTAATGTTCATGGACTGTAAGAGACTGCAACAAAATTGTTTTTTTTTTATATAAAACAATTAGTAACAAATATCAAAATGATTACTTTTCAGGTTCACAAGAATCTCGTATTTTGACAATAAAGATAAAAAAGACAAGAATTTGATAGTCAACAGTAACTGCTTACCTTGTTCTATAAAATCGACGGACGATTGACCGCTTCCACTCCTGAAATATATCTCGTTTATGCTCCTCTTCAGATATAATTGGAGAAACTCTAGGTTCTTCCACAGCACAACGAGCTTCAGCCATCTCCTACTGTTCCGACAGAGAATATACCAAAGTTCTGTTGTCTGGCTGTCTAATGAGCTCCGAAGTTGTCTGCTAACAGTTTATAATTAAAATTTATAGGATTTGTGTATTAATGCGGAAACAGTATTTCCTACCAGATTTTTACTTTGCTCGCTATTTCTTGAATCATATCTTTTTTCTTTAATTTCAATGTTTTTATTAATATTAAATTATGTGTTATCACAATTAATTAAATATTTTTTGAGAGTAAATAACATAAATATTCCGTTCAAATGCTAAAGTTTGTAAAATAATTTACAGTTCGCAGGTGCTCGTGTCTATATCGATTGAGCGTTTGCATCAAAAGACATTCAAGCGAACGGAAAAATAGCGTTGGAGGGACCAAGAAAAAAACGGAATTAAACTCTCGATGCCAAAGTGAAATGATCGATTATCAAAATATCAAAAATAATAAAGAATGTATTTTTCACCAACCGACATATACATATGTGATCTTAATTGAACTTTTCTTTTATTTCGTAACAGAAAACCATTTTTAAACAGTTGAAATTATTTATATCAACTATGGTCACGTGACTTTTGATGGTCGGAAGCTGGCGAGCACGGTAACAACCGAAAGGGTTTTATTGTAATTGTTCGTTTATTATGCATTGATTTTAATTTTTGACATTGGAGTATCATACTTTAAGATCTTATCTATATGTTATGCACACAACTAACGTGATATATCGAAATGAACTCGCAAAAAGCATCTTCCTTGTGATGAGAGGGGGGTTTATTATTGGTCGCCATCTTGAATGATGTTTTTGGTGCTTTTGCTCTGATTTCGCAAATTTATCATAATTTGAGTGGTTTTTTTTACCACATGTTATGTTGAATTCACATAAAGACGTTTTGTTAGATTATTACTATTAACGATTTTTGAACAGTTAAGAGGAAAAGTGACATAAACATCACGTTGTAAAACAATGAGAGTTATGTCCCTGTGACCTAGTTTTAGACATTTTTTACAAGTGAAACGATTTTCAAAATATCGTGTGCCCATATTTATCAATTCAATGTTGATATTGCTGTTTGTACCGTTTTGATTAAATACAAAAGTTATGTATTTTCACTGATCAAAATATATTTTAATATTTTGCTGATAATATTCAAGTAAATACTGAGTTTTGCATCATATTTTATATTAGGATAAAATATAGTTTAACCAGAAAAAAAACATTAATTTAATGCCCTTTTGTCGTTCAAATCTATGTAGGCTACATAAACATACCAGCAAAGCATGTACTTAGCTAGGCTGTCCATTTATGATATTAAAGGGACATCACTCTGGTTCAATTTCAGCTTTGCATTAGGTGATCTGTCTAAATCTTTGTATACATGTTAATGATATGACAACTCAGGTCTTAGAATTTGTTGTAATTTTGAATGAGGGTATTGATTTTTTATAATGTCTTTGACACCAATTTCAAAAATCATATTTATACTTAATAAATTACTCTTATTGAAATATTCTAAGTCTTAATACTCACCTATCTGCATCCGATTACTGTAATCCGAATTATTCTGACGTTTTATCGACTTTTTTCATATCGGTCTGTCGTCGATTAACGTCAGAACTCCGGCCCTCTATAATATGCGGGAAATATGCGACCCGTGCCCGGAGTGCACTTCAAACTGATATTTTAGAAACAAATCGTCACTTTCACACACATGTCGCACATGGATCGAAAGATCTATTCTTTATGTACTAGGCGGTATCAATAACATGTTTCAAAGATCATTACGAAAAGTATTTTTCAACGTTTTCTATACTAACCCATGTTTTTAATGGAAATTAGGCCATGAGCAATGTCACATGACTTGACGAGATCTCGCGTTACCGAAGGTATATCCCAACGTTATGACGTAAGCCTGCAAGATTTTAGTCACGTGGCATTAGAAGGCGGGGCTATCAAAAAACTAGAGTAAAACAGAGTAAGTTTGAAAAAATATGTTTTTAGTGATTGTATTGGTTGTTTGAGGCATGACATTTATGTTCATCTTGTGCATAAAGAATAGATCTTTCGATCCATGTGCGACATGTGTGTGAAAGTTTCTAAAATATCAGTTTGAAGTGCGCTCCGGGCACAGGTCGCATATTTCCCGCATATTATAGAGGGCCGGAGTTCTGATAAAAATAAAACACTTATGAAAACCCTTTTTTCACAAAGACGGAGACATCTTTTTTTACTTCATTAGGGGAAATATGACAAAATGTGATTTAATTTTGTTAAATGTGATTTTTTTAATTATTTTGTTCAATACAAATATATATACAGTACATCAAACATTTCATTTACATCCAATTGTGATACATACATGTACTTCATTACCAGTGGACAAAAGTTGCAAGATGATCCATACATGGGCTATTTTACAGAAAACAAATTATAGCAGAGCTGTTATTTATCAATAAAATTCAAAAAAAGTATATAAATCAGCTATTCTGACAAATTTATTTTACAGTGAATAATTTTTGTTTTAATATATTGATTTCATTCTCAAAAATGTCTATTTCAATCTTTTTCTTATTGCAGATATCCTGCCATGTGGTGATATATTATGGCGCCTACTTCCTGATTGTCAAATTACCACAATTTTATATTGAATTGAGGTACCACAAGAGGTAACTATTAAATTTAAATGGTTCTAAAAAAATATCTCTAATCTATACAAATTATAATAAAATATCTCTAATCTATACAAATTATAATAAAACCGCATAATGATGACTTAACTAGTAGTGCAGCCATTTTTTGTAATTTGACAATTTTCTTTTGGGTAATCTTATTTGTGAAAAAAAAACATAGCTACCCCTCCCCACCCCCCCTCCTCAAATTGAATTGAAGCTGAGAACTACTACAAAAAATAAATTGTAAAGGTGGGGTCAACATTTGGCCCCTTTTTCGATTTCATTTATTCTTTTGCCATATGTAAATATGTAAAAATGATCAATAACTGATTATTCATAATATTACAACTGATAACCGTAGCGAACCTCCCCGAAGGGCAAGTGAGCTTTATGCCGTGGTGTGGCATCCGTCAAATTTTCCTAAAAATTGCTACTAGTCATAAACGACTGAGCAGATTTTGACTCAATTTGGTCAGAAGCCTCCTTGGAGAAGGGGAACCAATTTTGTATAAACCGTGGGTCTGGCCCCTGAGGGGCGGGGCCCAATAACTTAGTTAGAATCATCTTTGGTGAATGAGGTTGTTACATTATAAAATTGGGATTCCTGCCCCATCCCCCGGGGGCAAGGGCGGGGCCCCAAATGGAACATTTACCAATATTTTAAAACTCTTTTCCTTTGATGACATGACAAGTATTGTATTTCACTTAGTTTACATGCTGATTTCCACATCACATCTAAACAATAAAATAAAGCTACCAGTACCTATGATATAACTCAGGTGACTGCTAAGGCCCTTTGGCCTCTTGTATATGGGAAACGGTACATGACTTCAGCTGTTTCACTGTTGCTGTTCTATATCTGGCCTTGAGTCTCAAGTGACCTATTGCGATCACCTTTTGTCCAGCGTCACCGGCGTCCGACGTGCGTCCGACAACAATTTAAATTTTCGACTTCTTCTTCAAAACCCCTGAACTAATTTCAATGAAATTTTGCAGAAACCTTCCATGGCCAAAGATTAACAAAAAATAATGGCCGATTTGATCCCCAGCCCCCAGGGGCCTGCAGGGCGGGGCCAAAAAGGGTCAAATTGACTAAAATTTCAAAAATCTTCTTTTCAAGACCCAATTATGGTAGATAGAAGGGTCTTAAGTTGCTTTACCAAAATTATGAATTTCATGACCCTTGGGTCTCACGTTTCCCCCTGGGGAGGGGGTAAACTTTACTATAGTTTATATAGGGGAATCATATTTTGGACCAACATTTGTTTAATTTCCATTGGAAGTAATTCAATTTAGGTTAGTGTTATCAGTACTGGGTAGCAGTTTGATGGTATGCACATATCAGCTCTGACTGACCCCCGGGGACTGATGGGAAGGGCCAAAAAAGGTCAAATGGACTGAAATTTCAAAAATCTTCTCCTCAAGACACAGCCATGGTCGAATCAAACACTCTTCGTAGATGGAAGGGTCTTAAGGTTTATGACCATAGGATCTCATATTTACCCCCTGGGGAAGAGAAGGGGGGGGGGGGGCAAAATGTATTATGGTTTATAATGGCAAATGATATTTTGAATATTACATGTTAATAACTTAATTGAAATTATAACCCTGAGTTGACAGTTTGATACTTAGAAAATTATGAGGCAGCCCTACCCCCAAGGGCTGTAGGGTGGGGCCCAAAGGAGTCAGTGTGCTAACATTTCTTGGTGTTAGTTTCAAATACTTTTTAGTCTTGAATCTGTTTGCTAGATATTGAATAAGGTGGTTTTATTGTTTTTTGTCACTGTGAATAATATTTCTGTTCTTGTAAGGGCCCCGTATCGGAGATACAGGTGCCCTATAGTAATCACTCTGTCTGTCTGTCCGTCCACAAATTCTGTTTCTGGCTGAAAACTTTGGTATTAATTGACCGATGTACATGAAACTTGGTCAAGATGTTCAGTTTACAAAAATATACATTGAGGTAAAAAATCAAGGTCAAAGATCAAGGTCATTAGGTTCAAAGGTCAAGGTCAAATTTTACGTCTTTTCACTTATGAACATGTTGTTATGACATCATGAAGCAAAGTTGATCAGAATTAAACAAGGAGTCAACTGACCAAGGTCATTGGGTCAGGGGTTAAGGTCAAATTTTGGAGCTTTTCACTGGTGAACATTTCACTATGACATTATAAAGCAAAGTTGTTCGGAATTAAACAAAGAGACACACTGAGTTAAAAAGTCGAGAACAAAGGTCAAGGTCATTAGATTCAAAGGTTAAGGTCAAATTTGCATCTTTTCACTGTTAAACATTTTGTTATGACATTATGAAGCAAAGTTGATCAGAATTAAACAAGGAGTCAACTTACCAAAGGTCAAGGTCATCGGGTCAGGGGTCAAGGTCAAATTTTGTAGCTTTTCACTGGTGAACATTTCGCTATGACATTATGAAGCGAAGTTGTTCGGAATCAAACAGAGTCACACTGAGTTAAAAAGTCGAGGTCAAAGGTCAAGGTCATTAGATTCAAAGTTCAAGGTCAAATTTGCATCTTTTCACTGATAAACATTTTGTTATGACATGATGTAGCAAAATTGATCAGAATAAAACAAGGAGTCAACTGACCAAAGGTCAAGGTCATTGGGTCAATGGTCAAGGTTAAATTTTGTACCTTTTCCCTGATGAACATTTTGTTATGACATTATGAAGCAATGTTGTTCAGAACTTAACACAGAGTCAACTGACCTCAGGTTCAGGTTATGGGGTCCAAAGGGTCAAGGTCAAGTTTTGTATTTTCACTGATGAACATTTTGTTATGATATCAAGAAGCAAAGTTGGTCGGAATTAAAGAATAAGTCAACTGACCAAAGTTCAGGGTCACTAGGTTAATGGTCAAGCTCATTTGGGTCCAAAGGTCAAAGACAAAGTGGATATTTGACTTTGACCCTGTTTCTTGATGTAGGAGTATATAAGGCGAAATAAAACAAATCAAAGCTAACAAATGAGTATTGCACCGGTATTTACATTTCTGTTAGCCCAGCAAATATGGAGGTGGAAGGAAACAAGACTCACATCATAGTACATGTAAAATGTATATTTTGCTTCCTTGTGATTCTTTTTGAAGTCCAAATGTCAAACGTCAAGCTCAGCTATATTGGCAGATTGCTTCTTGATGATTATGGGGCATATATTGCCACAAGACAGGGCCCTTACTGACCTGTCAGTGTTCTAGTTAAAAACAAAACTGAACTCTCTGTATAAACATATATCAGGTGACCGTTAAGGCCCATGGGCCTCTAGTTTTTTCGTAATATCAAATTTTGTAGCAATATGTATATAGAAGACATTATTTTCTGAGGTTCATGTGTGTACCATTTCACAACCCTAAGGGCTAATAGACCTTATGTTAGTAAAAAAAATGATGAAATTATGATTTATGAATGTAGGTTAGCCCAGTAGATTTTCTGAAATGTGCTGACATGAAACTGTACATACCTCAGAAGTAAAAATATACAGCCATGAAAGATCTAGATTTGGCTGAGATCGCTAGAGGAATAAGGAAAAAAAAAATCTTTAAGATCGTACTCCGACTTGGTCTGTGTTTACTTTATTACTTTATTACCAATGTATCGCGTTAATAGATACAGTACAGTGTTTCTCCAGAAGGGGGACTATGTAACACACNCCACCCCCCCACCCCTACATTTCTGCATTCTGCCTATATCACACTACCAACTTATTTTTTCAAACCTGGAGAAAACTCTTGAGTACAATCTTTATTATGTAGACAAGATGGTGAAGCGCACCGCCGGTGGCACGCGGAACCTGCCGCGTCGGGGTAGTGCACGATCTATCGGATTGGAGTTAATGATGGATTGCCAGAATGAGGATTTGTCGCCAGCTCAACTCCAGCACATGAAGAAGTGTCGCCTTGAGTTTGACAACGCCATGGCAATGATAAAGGCCGCTCAGGCGAAGGCGCGGGCAGGAAAGGCCACTGTTTCAGTTCAAAAAGTTCACATGAAAAACATTCCACCACCAAAAGCTGTCGCTGTCCCAGGCAGTCCCCAGAAACAAGGTAATTTTGTTTTCTTATTTTGTACATTTAGAGCCTGTTAACTGGAGTATTTGATTTTAATGTTTGCCTTGTCACCACGAAGTAGCGGAAGCGAGACTAAGGTGTTGATTTAACGGCTAGACCAACCAAACTTGACATGTGCGTCGATTGTCAAACTGGGGCATAGGCGAGACATATCAATCAGAATGACTTTTTAAAATTTCATTTGATACTTTCATATTTGAATGGTCAACAATTTACTGAAATTTGAAGATACACACTTGTCAAAAAATACAATAATTTTCTACCGCAAAAAATGATATGGGACAGTAAAGGATTAATTCTTATAAAAATTGCATGGTGTCACCGCAGTGATTGTTATTCCGTCTTGCGTATTGCAGAGTTATCTGCTCTTGTGAGCAGGTATTGATTGTTACATCATTAGTTTGTGTGAGAAAATTACGTCATTTTCCCAAATGACATTATTCTTACAAACAAATGACGTAACAATCAATACCTACTCACAAGAGCAGATAACTCTGCAATACGAAAAGACGGAATAAGCCGATTTTAGGTCTTATATAGGCCCCCCCTCTAGTTTATTTCTGTAGTATTTTATCGAAACATTTTCCCAAAGTCACAAGGCACAGGCCCCTATGGAAAGGAGAAAGAAAAATCACTGCACGTCTATAACCAAAAATTACATGGGTTAGGTAACGATTAACAATGAGAAATAGGCTAAAACTAAACCTGTGGCGACAATTTTCCCCGGTATACACTTATGTTAACTGCAATACTTATACATCTTAATAGACATGTTATAATTATAAATACTAATAATTAATGTATGTGCTTTTAAATAGGTCAGCGATCCACAAGTCCTGATGTGATTTTTGTGGGTGAGAGCCCGCCCCCTCCGACCCAGAAGACTGTGCCCAAGGCTGCACCCCCGCTCCTGGCTAAACCTCCGGCCATCACCAACGCCATACAGACCACCGGGGCCATACAGACCACCGGGGCCATACAGAAACCCGGGGCCCCTGTGGTAACCAACATGCAGCCTGGCACTCAGCAGTACATCATCAGGGGCAATGCTTTAGGAAACACCATGGTATGTGTTCTCTCTCCTTAACTCATTCATCCCTGAAATTTCATAATGAACTATTCCAACCTTGGAATTGGAAGGGTTCAAATGTGTCTTCAGGGATGGATGAGTTAAAAGTTGACATCAAACTGTTTATACTTTGTTTCTGAGATACAAGTTTCTGGAATATAAGTCACCTGGTATATTAAGGGACTATATTTACATTTCCCCTACAAGTTCCTCTAAAATTGCATTACCGGGAGAAATTGCAATCATAGAGCTATGAACGCCATTCAATCAGCCTCATTATGAAGCTTCTCCTCCTGCTTCGATTAACATGAGACAACCGCTAGAATCAAACATTGTGGTGACATTAAGCTGTTCCAGGAATCTTGTTTGCGCTGACGACACTTCAATGTGAATTTTAAGGAAATATCTATATTTAGGTCAATAATAACTGAATATTTAGAATGTAAATATAAAGATTGAAAGGTATTTTTTCAATGTTCATGTCAGTATGATTTGCGTTCGTACCAACATGAACATTGAAAAATGCTGTTCAAGCTTTATACATTTGTATGTATATTTCCAGTGAAAAGGAAATCAGTAGCAAATCAACTACATCAAAGTACAACAATGGTAAATTTGGACGACAATGGCTGAAATCTTGCATTCTTCAAGAAAGGGATACCTGCTGACTAGAACCCTGGAATTGCATACTAGTTTTTGTTGCACATAATTTTGTGCAATCTCTGATTTTCAGTGTATACTGGAATTACGTATGCGCGTATCTAAAACCCAGGCGAATCCGGGAAGAAAAGTATCTTGGAAACAATGTATTGGTTTATGTGCAATAACTCTTAAAATAGTTTGGTTACAACTGAATTTGATGTGCAAATTCCTATTGGTAAGTGTAGGACTAAGATTGATTGATAAATACGTGCCTATTAAAGTATAGTTGATGAGGCTGTTGACTTGATAAGTGTAAGACTAAGATTGATTGATAAATACATGCCTTTTTAAGTATAGTTGATGAGGCTGTTGACTTGATAAGTGTAGGACTAAGATTGATTGATCAATACATGCCTATTTAAGTATAGTTGATGAGGCTGTTTACTTGATAAGTGTAGGACTAAGATTGATTGATCAAACCATGCCCATTTAAGTATAGTTGATGAGGCTGTTGACTTGATAGGTGTAAGACTAAGATTGATTGATAAATACATGCCTATTTAAGTATAGTTGATGAGGCTGTTGACTTGATAAGTGTAAGACTAAGATTGATTGATAAATACATGCCTATTTAAGTATAGTTGATGAGGCTGTTGACTTGATAAGTGTAGGACTAAGATTGATTGATCAATACATGCCTATTTAAGTATAGTTGATGAGGCTGTTGACTTGATAAGTGTAGAACTAAGATTGATTGATAAATACATGCCTATTTAAGTATACTGACAAGATCCTATATCTTTGTTATGTTTGACAAGCAATGTCCTGAACCTTAAAAAGTGGTGAATGAAACAGGTGTTTTTTTAATTGTTCAAAACATTTGTTGGGATGCAGAACAATTTCTTTGACATAATATCCCAAATTGTGCTCAACATCAGAGAGCCTTCGACTTTGACAAAAATAATGGGAAAATTAAACCAATAGCTTTTGCATGTTTAAAAATATTTTAAGGATAAACATTTCAGTGAATTTCAATTCCTTTCAACTGATTATTTAGATATATTGAAATTTTCAAATACTGTATTCACAGTTATCACTACCCCTCCCCTATAAGTGTTCCCTTCGCCTTTTTGGGAGGCATTGAAATTCTATAATTTTTTCCCAGAACTCCGAACTTACCAGACACGGTCAATGATTTACAGCACTTACAATATAAAGTAGAGATTGGAGACAGGTGATCTTGACTGGACTTTTAATGAAGTGGATAAAACATTTGAAAGATATCCAAACCTCGAGCCATACCGGAATGTTATAATGTCCTACTGTGATACTGTAGTAATGGCTGAAGTTACACAACTTGTTCTATCAAAACTCAAATCTTATTATCCTAATAAGTGCCCCCATTAAGGCTTATTTTTCAAGCGCCCTTGGTGCTAATTACAGTGAATAGGGTATGTAAAAATACCTGATTATTTGTCTTCCTCTCCAGCAAGGGCCGCTTCGTCTGGTACCTCTTAACTCAGTAAACCAGTACCAACAACGTCCTCCGGTCCCTGTACAGTTCCAGGTACACAAACAGAACGCCATCGCCCCTCATGGTAAGTTGGTGTTCACTGCTGGTCAGTAATCTTGTGCACTGAATGTTCTTGTGGAAAATGAAAATGAAGTAGAGAGAAATGTGTTGGTTTTAGGCTTGCTACATTTTAGTATATTGATATGGTTTATAGTACCTATGGCCCATAACAAGTGCTTGAATCATCCCAAAAGTTTTGTTTAAACATTTTTGACTTTTGTTTGGAAAAAAATCTGTAATTATTTCTTATAAGAAGAAACCTCTTTGAAGATAAAGTGTATGACGCAAGTTTATATTATAACCATGCATGTTATTGAACTAAACATTTTCTAATGAAATTTATAATTTTACAGCTTTTTTTATCTGTAAAGTTTAATTACAAACCTTTAGGTGATATGACTTAGCTCTGTCGGTGATTCTGTCTGCCTAATGTTAAAACATGGTGCCCCTGAAATTTCATAATGAATTATTCCAACCTTTGAATTGGAAGAGTTCAAATGTGTCATCAGGGGTGAATAGGTTAACCCTATAGTTTACTGAAGTATGGTGTTTATGGTTGCAGCGCCTCAGAGACCCTCTCAGCCCGGAATGATGTCTGCCACTTCAATGCTCGTCAACAGTGCTATCATGGCGAAGCGTCATCTAGAAAGTACACAGGACAGTGCGGGACCTGCCAGGAAGAAGCTCAAGAAACCTGGAGACGTGCTGGATAATATAGGTAAGAGGTCTCTTCTATCCTGACTCTCCCGCTTAATAGAGGATGGAAGGGCACTAACAGGTAGTGATGGGCTGATGATCAATTATAATCAAAAATTCGATTGGTTGGTCCTTTTTCGTTTCCGATTATCAATTACAAATTCCATTATCGATATAATCAGTTCTTCATTAAAATTGCTAATCAAAGTGCTAAATGTTTTCGATTTAAAAAATGTATTTAGTGTTCTCACTTTATTGGGGTATTCAGTCCCATAAAATTATGAACCGATTATGCAATCGATCATCGATTGGTTTACTGCTTCTAATTACAAACCGATTATCAATTATGATTTTAAACCGATTGCCCATCACTACTAACAGGGCTAGAGTCTAAGGTCTGGGACCCAAGAAAAATGACTAACAGGCCCAGGACTAGAAACTGATTTTAATATCCACAAGTGAATTGGTCTAGCAGATTCCACGTTGCTAGTCCATTTGCAAATTTCACTGTGCAGGGAAACTGTGGTGTTTAAATTTCAATCATAGATTAATTATAGTACACCAGAAAATATATAGTGTAGGTAGATAGGAAACACGTGTTTGTGGTCTCGGTGTTAATGAAATAACGATATATTTGAGTGGAGAGAGTTGTCTTTCCCTCCATGTGTTGAGGTGGTGAGATCTGTGTTACAGGCAGCTGGGTGCCCCTGGACGAGTATTACTACGGTAAAATGGAGGGCGACCCTTCTTACCAGGAGGACAAAGGCGAATACCGATTCAAGGTTTGTCACGCTTAACATTGTCAAATGTCAGTATAATTTATAAACTTTCAAACATTGTCAAATGTCAGTATAATTTATAAACTTTTAAACATTGACAAATGTCAGTATAATTTATAAACTTTCAAACATTGACAGTGCCAATATCATTGACAAAATTACCCATTAGTATGAACAAGTGACAAAATTAGACAAAAACAACAACATGGAAAACTGCTTTTGGTTTAAAGGGAGATAACTTAAAAGTATGCATGTTCCATTATATGTATATAACTGTGTATTAGGATTGCGCTGCCCGCTCTAGTATTGAGCTATGTTATGTAATTGATATAAAACTATTGCTTTGAGAAATACTGTGCACACTGTATGAGTCAAGTGACCAGAAAATTCCCAAAATGATCTTAGCAGCCCTGCTAAAAAATGTCAATTACATCATTATCATGTTCGTGACTGTGTTTCTACCATTGCAGTGCTGGTACTGCTCTAAGATGCTGTACAATAATATCAAGGCTATGATGCACATCCAAGGTCACATTGACAGCGGTAAGCAGCACAACCTTGACCTCAGTGACCTCACCCAGTGTAAACATTGTTACAAGCAGTTTGATACTCCGTTTGAGATGCAGACTCACGTTGAGAAGGTAAGTCCAATAGATTAGGGGCGTACAATTTCTATTATAAAGCAATGCTTTTTCTTGTAATAATTTTTTTGGGGGGGGGGGGGGGGGGGGGTAGAAGGGGGCTGATAATGGACCCCATTCCCAATTGAAACTGTTTCATATTTATACCTAATTCCTAAAATTTTCATTTTAATGCAGATAATTTCTTTCCTAATTGGAGTATTTTCTTTCTAAAATGAGATAAAAGGCCCCATCACAAGTAAACAAATAAAAAACTTATAGAGTACTTGCCCATAGGCAGATTTAAAAAAAATCTACTTGCCTTGCCTTAATTTTCATGATGAATTTGGAATTTTTTAGACCTGATGAAAAAAGATAATTTGGATTTTCTAATATTGTCAGCATTTTTTTGATACAATTTCAACATCACTTATTTCATAAAATAAGTCACAAGAATGAGTTAGCATCATGTTTTGGTAAAAAAACAAATCCAGACAAAGCAAGATATGTCATTTTTGTATTAAATGTTTATATAAACTTCTTTCTTTGTTATTTGTGATTTCACAGGTACATATGAATGGAGCGAACGTGTTGTTGTGTAGGATCTGTGAGCGTGACCACGAATCGCGTACTGCTCTGACCCACCACATGCGACAGAACCACCACGCCTGTGAGATGCCCTATATCTGTCACCTGTGTAACTTCCGCTCGTCTATGTACAGTGATGTTGTTGATCACTTCAAAAAGGTGAGACTGCGTTAAGTTGTTAAAGGTTCAAGGCTTGTTTGCAGAGAGAGACTTTAAGTTGATAAAGGTTCAAGGCTTGTTTGCAGAGAGAGAAACACAGTTACTACTTCTTGCAAATTTATAACAAAGACAGGATTTTTTTCTTTCTAAGTTTTTCGCTCTTTTAAAAAAGATATAAAAATTCCTGTTTAATGAACTGACTGAAGGATCCCCATATCACTGAAAAAACTAATTATGCACTGGAAATTGCTTTTGTTACCATAGCAACATTTCTTAAAAGAAACCATACCTTGGAAACTTTTATGAAAAATGATAGAGATGAAATAAATAAAACATTATATCAACAAAAGCATTGTGATTGTAAAAGTTCAGCAGGATTTGGCAGGGATGGGGACCCTGGACTTCAGATTATTACACTACTGCTCCTACAACAGAAGTGTCCTGGCCCTCCTCTACTACAGTTCTATCGAAAACAAAATTAAAACAAGGCTACCGTACAAAAAAATATTTATTTTTAATTTGGCAAATGACAAATGAGTTTAAACTTAACCGCAATTTTCGTTACAGAAACATGACAGTTCTCCACACATTCTGTGTCTATACTGTCTAAAAGTATTCAAGGTGAAGTTCGTGACCTTGGGCTGGGGACAGACCCAGACGTACTACGGCCATCTCCTGAAGCACCAGTCGAAGGCCTCCACTAAGAAGTGTACGTTATGTCGCCTCACCTTCTATAACGTCCCCGATGTCAAGGCACACAAGAAAAAGGATCATCAAGCCAACCATAAAGGAGTGTTAGGTAAGATCGCCATGGTGATTGAACGACAGGTTTTCAATGTTTGTGCTGATAGCTAGTTAGGGCTATTCCAGAGTTAACCATAACACAGCACACCACATCTCCAGCACACACGCAGGCATACACACATAGGGAGATGTTAGCCAGGTGGTATACATAGGGAGATGTTAGCCAGGTGGCATATGACTAGTAGTTAGCTCCTGATAAGGCAGCTCTTGCGAATTCCTCAAAAATTGTATTGATTAATGTGGGTTAATTGTATTAATTGTATATCTATGTACTGTAAATCCCTTTAGAGTGGCTTATGTTGGCTAGATAGGGCGCTATATCAAATGTTGTATATTATAATTATTATAGGGGAGGGATGGGAGACACTTTTTCAGAAACCAAATCACCAATAAAATCTGAAAAGTGATTGAATACTATAAATATTTGCATATTGTTTACATTTCAAAATATTTTATTACATCTAAATCAGATTTAAAGGGAATTGAGCAACTGGCCTTTCCCTGGAGATACATTTCAAACATTAGCAGATAATAAACTATGAGTATTAACATTGGTTTGGAAAATAAGGAATAGTTAGCTAGTGTTCTTTTAGTATGCAAGTATTACTGAAATATTCTAGTATTTTCCACTTTTTGTATGCATGTATTTGCGTATTGTTGGCATTCCTGTGCAATGCTCAGGTTTGATAGGTAGATCTGGTTATAACCCTACCAACCATAATATATTAATAATGGTGCCTCCCACCTCCCCTATACGATAAATTATGGAACAGCCCTTACTTGTATACTGTTTAAAGATAAAGATTTCATTTACTGATTATAAAGGGATATAACTATTTCTACGGATAAATTTTCCCTTTGATCAGCCTTGACCATTAACATTGGCTGGCTTTGACCGTTATCCCTGGTCAGCCTTGACCATTAACCTTGGCTGGCTTTGACCATTATCCCTGGTCAGCCTTGACCATTAACCTTGGCTGACTTTGACCATTATCCCTGGCCAGTCTTGACCATTAACCTTGGCTGGCCTTGACCAGTATACCTAGTCAGCCTTGACTATTACACATTAAGCACATTTTAACTTTCATCATGACAGGACCCAACAACAGATACTCTACGCCGGGCCAGGTGATGATTAAGGTACCGGAGTCCGGCCTTCAGCCAAAGCCGCAGAGTGTCAAGTCACTGAACGCCCCAGCGGTCAGTAAGGTGCTGGACTTTGGGGGGACTCGCTTCCCCACAGTGGTCAATTACCTCACCTGTCTGGAGTGTAAGATGTCCATGGGAACACCTGACCACTTCAAGTAAGTAATGGTTGACAATTGACCACTTTAACTCATTTACCCCTACATATTCAAAATGGACTTGCCAAGTCTTTGATTTGGTAAGTTTCAAATGTGACTTTAGGTGTGAATTGGTGAAATATGTCTTGACCATTTCAAGTAAGTAATGCATGATTGAAAGTTTTGACCACTTCAAATGAGTAATTCTTGACCAGACTCGCTCACTCACCACTCAAATTAAATAACACTTTATCAGGTTCAAGTTAGTGTGACATTTGTCTACACTCGATTAATAAAAAACTGTTGTCTGCATACTGTTCCTTTGTTACTGAATTATACGTAGACATGCCACCTCTATGTATGTAAGATACACGTGCCTTGATGTGGCCTATTAGGAAAACTCGCGTTGGATTTTACATAGATGCACTCAATGACCTCTGCTATTACGACGTCGGTCATACAGATGATGATGTTATTAAATGACACGAACAACTAACAACACATCATTAGCATAAAAATGAATTGCACAAATTTGTCATTAACTCATTCACCCCTGAAGACACATTTGAACCCTTCCAATTCAAAGGTTGGAATAGTTCATTATGAAACTTCAGGCGTCAATGAGTTAAGGTGTTGCATTTGAGGTACATTGTATACCTATGGTATACTGCACTTTTTTCCGCTTTTCCAACTGAGTCCTTGGTCTCTGTGTATCTATAGACTTAGCTATATTTATTAGTGTTGCATTTTACCAAAAGTTTGTGTAAGAGACAGCCGCTATCATATAGATGTGTGGGATAAGGATATTCTGATCTCGCTGTAGGGGTTTGGGTCAAACCATTGGCAAATTGTACCCCCTCGAGTTAAATATTCAACCCCACATATAACAGACTATTAATATTCCAGTCTTGTCAGAAGGCATTCTCCCAAAAGAATTGCTACTGATTTGCTTGCATGAGCTTGAAAGGAAAGATGTCATCACGGAAATGTTTTATTTACAGGAAGTATATCGAGTGTTCTATGTGTCGGTTTGCCACAAGTTGCAGCATTGCCTACGCCAACCATATGATGGGTTTCCACTCCTGTCAGGTGTCCAGCCTTAACCTGAACATCCCCTGGGAGCGCAGAATGGAAACTCCCATGTATTGTCTGTGTGGATATGGGTCGAAATATGGCAACAAAATAGGTAAGATCGTCTGGTGATGTCCAGTGTAGCCAGATGAAGCACTGATCTCTTGTCGATGTCTTATATATTTACTGGATCAAAGATGAATACGTCGTTTCTGAGATACAAGTTTAAAAATGTATCGAAGTATATGATACATACTATACCAGTCAATTGTATATATATATAATATATTGGAAGTTATTTACATGTGTCTGACTGAATATTATATAGATACCTGTGGTTTACCTCCCATGTGTCTGACTGAATATTAAAAAGATACCTGTGGTTTACCTCCCATGTGAAGTTATTTACATGTGTCTGACTGAATATTAAATAGATACCTGTGGTTTACCTCCCATGTGAAGTTATTTACATGTGTCTGACTGAATATTAAATAGATACCTGTGGTTTACCTCCCATGTGAAGTTATTTACATGTGTCTGACTGAATATTAAATAGATACCTGTGGTTTACCTCCCATGTGAAGTTATTTACATGTGTCTGACTGAATATTAAATAGATACCTGTGGTTTACCTCCCATGTGAAGTTATTTACAGATGTCTGACTGAATATTAAATAGATATCTGTGGTTTACCTCCCATGTGAAGTTATTTACATGTGTCTGACTGAATATTAAATAGATACCTGTGGTTTACCTCCCATGTGAAGTTATTTACATGTGTCTGACTGAATATTAAATAGATACCTGTGGTTTACCTCCCATGTGAAGTTATTTACATGTGTCTGACTGAATATTAAATAGATACCTGTGGTTTACCTCCCATGTGAAGTTATTTACATGTGTCTGACTGAATATTAAATAGATACCTGTGGTTTACCTCCCATGTGAAGTTATTTACATGTGTCTGACTGAATATTAAATAGATACCTGTGGTTTACCTCCCATGTGAAGTTATTTACATGTGTCTGACTGAATATTAAATAGATACCTGTGGTTTACCTCCCATGTGAAGTTATTTACATGTGTCTGACTGAATATTAAATAGATACCTGTGGTTTACCTCCCATGTGAAGTTATTTACATGTGTCTGACTGAATATTAAATAGATACCTGTGGTTTACCTCCCATGTGAAGTTATTTACATGTGTCTGACTGAATATTAAATAGATACCTGTGGTTTACTTCCCATGTGAAGTTATTTACAGGTGTCTGACTGAATATTAAATAGATATCTGTGGTTTACCTCCCATGTGAAGTTATTTACAGATGTCTGACTGAATATTAAATAGATATCTGTGGTTTACCTCCCATATGAAGTTATTTACATGTGTCTGACTGAATATTAAATAGATACCTGTGGTTTACCTCCCATGTGTCTGACTGAATATTAGTTTTTTAGGTCACCTGAGCTTTGCTCAAGTGACCTATTCTAATCGCTTTCCGTCCGTCGTCGTCAGTCGTGCGATAACTTTTTACATTTTCAACTTCTTCTCAAGAACCAGTGAATGGATTCTTTTCAAACTTGGTCAGAATCATCCTTGGTATATGAGGCTACGAAATTGGGATTCCTACCCCAACCCCTGGGGCCAGGGCGGGGCCCCAAAGGGAAAATTAACCAATATTTCAAAAATCTTCTTCTCCAGACTCAGAGGTACTACATTCAATTTCAGTACATAAAAAGAAAGATCATCAGGGGCTTTATTTAAATTGTAAATTTCAGGACCCCCGAGTTATCCGTTCTCCCTTGGGGAGGGGGTAAAGTTTACTACAGTTTACATAGGGAAATAACACTTTTGGGTATATTTTATCCATTTTCAGCAGAAAATTACTCAAACTTAGTCAGAATCATCTTTGGTGAATGAGGGTATTACATTGTAAAATTAGGATTCCTGCCTGATCCCCAGGGGCTAGGGCGGGGCCCCAAAGGGAACATTTACCAATATTTTCAAATTCTTATCCTTTGATGACATAACAAATATTGTATTTCACTTAATTTACATGCTGATTTCCGCATCACATCTAAACAAAAAATAAAGCTACTAGTACCTATGATATAACTCAGGTGACCGTTAAGGCCCTTGGGCCTCTTGTTGCGTTTAAGTTAGTTTCACTGAAGGTATAAGTGCTAGACCAACCAAACTTGGGCCATAGATACATCTTAGGTAGTACATCTCAACCCATGCATCAAATGCCTGAAGCGGCCTACCTTTCATGGTCCATTGACTTTGTCAGCATATCCATCAACATTAAGTTATTGCGTTTAAGTTAGTTTCTCTGAAACTTTTAAGTGCTAGACCAACCTAACTTGACATGTGCATTGATGGTCTAATCACCTTGTTTACTGTATCTTTTCTTACACCCATTAAGTAATATAATATATGATATAAAAAATCAAAGTTATGAATTACACAAATTCTCTCTTACCACATATACATATAGTAAAAATAAAAAAAATCATTAAGGAATTGTCTTGAAGTCTAGGACAAGAGAAAGATCGAGAGTAGTTTGGGCGATCCCTACCTACTAATATCACCTTCCTCGACCTAGGGCCAGACAAACACAGACATTACAATATAGTGTAAGACTACAGACATTACAATATAGAGTAAGACTACAGACATTACAATATAGAGTAAGACTACAGACATTTCAATATAGCGTAAGACTACAGACATTACAATATAGAGTAAGACTACAGACATTACAATATAGAGTAAGACTACAGACATTACAATATAGAGTAAGACTACAGACATTACAATATAGAGTAAGACTACAGACATTACAATATAGAGTAA